TATGATAAGTGGATAAAGCGATGGGATAAGTGTATTCAACAGAATGGAGAGTACTTCGAAGGATAGTTGTTGAATTTTTTTAAATAAATGTTTCGTTGTTATACTATAGCACCAGTCTCGTTATTTTCTGATACATCCTCGTAGTTTCCAAAGAGGGGATGTTTAGAAAATTCTCTATCAATCATACTCGCAAAGGACACCCAATTTATATGTATTTATGTATTTAAGAAATTTATGTTGCACATTTTCTATGTTTCTACTGTGCGTTATGTAATGTGGATACCAGACAGAAGAGCAATAATCTAGGTGAGGTCGGACTAGTGAACAATAAAGGACTTTAATTGAAGTTGTGTCAGTAAAATCATGTGTTAGCCTTTTGATAAAACCTAACATTTTCATGGATTTGTGGATAGCCTTAGGTATGTGTTGATTGAAGCTTAAAGTGGAATCTAGAATAACTCCAAGGTCTTTAATTTGATTAACAGACTCCAAGATATGACCATTTAAGTTATAATCAAAAATAGTAGTTGGTACATGGGATCGATAAAAGCGCATGACATGGCACTTTATAGCATTCAAATCCATGCCATTTAAGGAACACCAGTTTGATAGATTATCAAGATCAGACTGAAGCAAGAGGGCATCATAAATGGTTTTAATAGTTAGGAAAACTTTTAAATCATCTGCAAACAATATTGCTTTGCCATGCTAAAAACAATGAATGATGTCATTTATAAATAAGTTGAATAATAAGGGACCAAGGTGTGATCCTTGAGGAACACCTGAGGTAACTTGGAATGAGTTAGAATAGTGATAACCATTTGAGTTCTGTTCGTAAGATAGCTACTAATCCATTGCAGTAAGACCCCATTTATACCATATTTATTGAGCTTTTAAAGTAAGAGAGAATGGTTAACCCTGTCAAAAGCCTTAGAAAAGTCAGTGTACACAGAATCAATCTGGCAACCCTTCTCCAAAGCTTCCGACAGGAAGTCGACGTAGGTAACTAGATTTAATTCAGTCGATTTCCCAGCACAAAAACCATGATCCATTATGATGCCAGAGCAGTCATAGGTAAGGTAGTCTGTTATAATATAATGTTCTCAAAAACCTTAGGTATAGTACTGACAATAGATAGAGGTCGGTAATTTTTGACGTCTGACTTGCTACCCGATTTGTATATTGGGGTGACATAAGACAGTTTCCAATAATCTTATTGAAAATATAGACGAGAGGGCAAGACAATACGAAGCTGCAATTTCTGAGTAGGATGGGAGGAATAATGTCAGGATCTGGACCTTTCATTATGTCATTACACATATTTTTCAAAACAATCTAGATAAATTTCTACAGGGTTAAAAATGTATGTGTATAAGCTGTCAATATTTTTAAAGATTTTTTAATTTGTAAGTATTACGATATTTTATTTTATCCAATTTAATGTAATTGATTTAGTTTAGGTAGTTGATTTAGTTTAATTAATTTAGTTTGGTAATTGATTTAGTTTGTTTGATTTAATTTAATTTGGTTGATTTGGTTTAGTTAATTTAACTTGATTAAATTGGTAACTGGACTCATAGGTATTGCTAGACCTCAGTCCTTATTGTATTATTATAAAAATAATAATAATCCTACACAGAACACTAGGCTAATAACCATAGTAGTGGATGCCAATGACACCAAATAAAAATAATAATAATAATAATGGGAGGTGGGTGGCTCAGTGGTAGAGTCTCTGCCTGCGGATCCAAGGGTCCCAGGTTCGAATCCCACCATTGGCCAGGATTTTTTTATTTAATTAATTTATTTAAAATTAATTCTGATGCCTGGGTAGGATTCCCTACTCGACCATTCACTGTTGGGTTCTAATTAACGGTGTTGTTCCTAAAGTGGCGCTGGAAAACACTGACAAAGCCTATACCGAACACGAGGCTAATAACCTTAGTAGTTGAAGCCAATGACACTAAATAAAAAAAATAAATAATAAAAGCAGGTAGGTACATATTATGTTATAGACTGGCATCATTTAAAATAAAAGGTAAGTCTATGATGTAAGCATAAAGCTGAGGTGATAAATATTTATTGTACCAGAAGTTCATTTTATCCTTAGGAATAGGAAAGCTTGAGAGCCTACAATATTAGGTCAAAATATATATTTTTATGGGGGCACTAAAATAGGTGATGTTTTAATTAACCCTTTCACTGCTGCGTGCATCATTTTTAATGTATCGTGGTATGCGGCTGCCACGGAGCCGTAGGTAAACCTATCGGAAGCTGCTGTATTTATAGACGGTTCCCGCACTTCAGTTGCCACTTTCTGCTGCGGCTTTGCACGGCTCCCGCAGTGAAAGGGCTAAGAACATTTTTAGTGTGAGGAATATATGGGTTTGACCTATTTGTGTTGACTCCATTCTAGATTCTAGCATCTATCTGCAATAATATAAATCAAACAGGACCAAGAGCTACCCTACATTTTGCAATTCCAAAACATTTTCAAAGTTATAATAACACTTTCGCTGCGGATCCACGTCTAGTTGGTTCTTACCCAGGTGCGCACGACGCGGATGCAAGTTTTGAGCAGGAATGATTTAAAAGCGTTAGTATTTGTTGAGCATTTGAGGTCGACGTTTGTAATTACGAGAGCACTAGGATAGACCACTGAAAAGTGTCAATTTGTGGTTGGTTTTCGGTTTGATGTTAGTTGAACATGGATAATGATAACGACAAAAAACGAGTATTAGAATTAGAATTATAAAAGACAGAAGAAGAATTATAATGTTTTTACTATGGAGTGTAGAGGAAAGGAGGACAATCTCATACTGTTGTATATCTCAAAAAGAGTCCCCAAAATGTATAAAATTAAGATTGCGCTCGTGTACTAGAAGGGAAATATCCAATTATATATAGTTCTATAGATAGCTCACCCTTATAAAAATCAGACTTTGAACAAAACAAATATGTTTAGAAATATAATAACCACTCAATGTACACATTTATTTTGATTTTTTGGTCAAAAAATTATCGAATTTTTTTAAAGTGAAAATTTAGTGGGGGGGGGGGGGCGAAATTATAAATTGTATTTTCTTAAATATTAGTTGTTTATGCGTTACATATCCTTTTATGGTGAATGTATACCTATTATAAAAATGTATAATCGTCTTATAAATTATACTTTACCTTAATAATTATCAGTGGCGTACCCAATATTTTTAATAATAGCTGGGGAATCAGTATTTATATAAGGGACAAATTTAGTTAAAAATATGTTATTGATATATATGAAGAAATATTTATTAGAACAAGTTCCCATCTGAAATGAGCAAACAAAAATTTGTGAGTAAATATAATGGTTGCCCATGTCCCAGTTGACCACATACAAAATTTCCGGTAAGACAAGCTCGTCTCTGACACGGGCATGTACGTTAAGTGGTTAAAGACTACTGGTCCAAGATGAGAGTTCTGTTGGAATGTAAAAAAATTATTAATCTCAGATGACTAATAATTCCATATAAGTACATACAATGTCTTTCCTGGGACAAGTACCTAACATTAGCATGACAAAAAAAGAACCAAATCATTTTAAAGTGTATGTAATAAAATGTCATAATGTTACTCTGTCAAATGCCAGGAAGAAGTCAGTGTAGGCCGAGTTATATTATTCACCTAGAACTAGAACCCACTCTCAGGACAATAAGATTAAAAAAAATAACTTTCACTTGGAGGTCCAAAAATCACAAACAATATTTTCCAAAACTTGATAATGCTTCTCAAAATTCTGATTATAGGTATGTAAGCATTCCAAAAATTATCCGTTCAAAATAAACTAAGTATTTGAACAAAATTAAATAATTACATGGCTTGTGGCCTGAATAGATTAAAATAATATAGTTTTAAAATAATTGGTACAATTCAATAAGGTCCTAGGCTTTGTTGACATGCAAGGGGGAAAACTTAATATTGGAATATTTCAGATATGACATTATTTTTAGGAACGAATAAATTGTAAATTTTGTGGAAAAAAATAAACAACATTCACTCCAATTATGCCCAGCTACTATTTTGAAAACATTTATTTTATTAAATTTGTGAAAAAGCAGCTATTCAGAGATCTATACTATGTAGGTATTACATAAAAGACCTATTCATAGTTTTTGAAAGAAGAAATCACAATTAATTCCTCAAATATTTTAGGTTTTAATATTATAAGTAGGTAGTTGAAAATTAAAAATAAATACTTCTGGTATATTTTGGATGATAAAAGCCCAAATATACCAAACATTTTAAGGGGTTATACTAGCATGGGAGCATGTGCAAAATAATAATGGTTGGCAGACAACAACTCCAAATATTAGAAGCTGCTGATGCAGAGGGTTCATCTTATGGCGCTGGCATATGTGACTTCAAGTTGAAAAAATAAAAATTAACGATGTGTAAATGTCTTTTGAAACTTTGAATGCGTTTCTCTCAAAATGGTGTGTTTTCAAAGTCTGTGAGCACGATTTCTCAAAAACAGTTCAGGGATTATTTTAATTTTTTTAAATAATTTAATGAAAAAATTTGGTCAAAAATTTGAATTTTCTTTTTTCTTCGGAGCTGCCATTTCGTCTCTATTCCTTCGATCAATACCTAGATTTATCTATCTACTAATAGAATCTTTGGGTTTTTTTGTATTAGATAATCCAAACCTGAGATATTTTGGACACTGCCAGACACCATTTTTTTGAAGGACTTCCAGGAGAATATCTACAGGAGCAATGTAAATCAATATTTTTAAAAATGAAAAATGCTGAAATAATGTTAAAAGTTAGCACTGTATTTGTCAAAGAAAAGCCCTAAGTATTCAGAAAAAAAATCGAAAAAAAACGGACTTGCAATTGCGTATAACCCCTTAAACATCAAAAGTGGTATATTGGGAATTGGGATAGGACAATTTGATATGTAACTATCTACCCAAAAATAGAGCAATTAAACATGCTGGTTCAAATTATGACATTACTTACCAGGACTGTCTTTACTGCTGCTGTGTTGAAAAGTATTTACCATAACATAATCTCCATCTAAACAAAATAATGACGGATATTGTGTTAAAAATTTTTTAAGGCCACTTTGGCTACCGCCAGCTATTTGACGCATTTCTTTTGTAAATCCTTTCGAACCAAATTGGCAGCTCAAATCGTGTAGAGTTCTTGGTTCTCCTTTATCCAACAAACGTTCAAAAAAGAATAGGAGAGTCATATTTCTTGCCATTTCGTATTGCATTGCTTCCATTTTAAAAACTTGTTGATGTGTATTTTCGTTTTACCTAATTGATTTATTACAGATCTTAAATATTTATTTCTTAAACTCTTTTTTATATTACGTGTATTTATTTTTTTGAAAGTTGTTTCCAAATTACATTAAAAGTATAATTAGATCTTATTGAGGTGAAAGAGTAAAATGGTAGTTTGAAGTTGATATGTATTCTTCACAGTGGCTTCTTAGTTACGCAACACTTGAATTACACTTACACCCACTAAATATAACGTAATTAAATTTTTATGAATTTTGTTTTCCTAAAATTAAAATTTTAAAATAAAAAAAAAATTGCATTGACCTCTACAACGTCAAGCTGGCTTTCGCCATCTTGAATATTTTGATGTTTTTTGACTTAACATTTTGACTGACACTGACAACTTATCAAAATTGTCAATTGTATAAAGCCAAGTTCACAAGTAAATCGGCCCACTGACGATGAGGCATTACGTGTGTCTTTTTTTCCACCGGTTTGTTGCAACCGTTGTTTCACCGATGCGGCCTTGAACGTTTTGTGTTGGATTCTGGTTAATGAAGTGGAGAGGGGTCACAGAGAGAATAGTGCATCGAAAAATAATTAACAAGTATAATTTAATACTAAATCGGAATAAAAGCATAAAAAATCATAAATATAAGCAAGATAACAAAGAATTGACGCCAAAAAATCTTACAACAGCCAAAACACAAACAAAAAACAGAGCTGAACATGAACATAATCGCTGAATAAAGTCGATCCTGGAATTTGTTTACAGTGCTTTAGGGCAACCTCTCCTTGTCATTTACGTTTGTAAGAGTGGAAGGCTGAATCACGCATAATTTCTACACTCGTGATGGATGCGCAGACGGTATAGAGAAAGTAAAAGTTAAAAAGTCTTTTGGTAGGTAGAGAGGGGGTAAACGTCAAACCACGTCGGGCGGCTCCGAGAATTTCACAGTAATGTTTACCTGCCAGTGTCGTTTCATAGAATAAGTAATTTTAAATTGTTATCGGCGGAACCGGACAATCGCATGTATTTATGGATTATAAATAATTATTAAACATGTATTATAATATTCAAATTATAATTTTACAAAATTTCAACAGCTATTCACAATTTATTAAACTATTTACTCGAAATTGTTATTAACATCTATAAAATAATTTTGTACGCCAATGTATCGTGTCCACTTCGGTGAGATCCGCTGACAACCTGTCAAGTTATGTGTATAAAGTGGGAGAACTGGCAAAAGCATTTCCAACTTTTACTTCTGTTCTACCTTATCGTTCTACCCTCTCTACTTCTTTGATTCTGGTTGACCGTTGAAATAAATGGGTGCTATGATTGAACGTTTACGTTATCCGTAACGTACATGTTAGGCCGAGTTTTAACAGTAAAGGGTTTCCATCATACGAACTTGCCTCGTTACTTTTAAAATTCGGCATAACATGTACGTTACGGATAACGTAAACGTTCAATCATAGGACCTAATAACAGTTGACATACCGCACCGATGCCAACGTTGCTGCAACAGTTGGATAAAAAGACACACGTTACGGGTCACGTGCTTTCCTATGATTGAACGTTTACGTTATCCGTAACGTACATGTTAAGCCGAATTTTAAAAGTAACAAGGCAAGTTCGTATGATGGAAAACTGTTAAATTAGAACATGACAGGCGGAAAATAACAGTAATGGGTTGAAAAAAGTTTTCCATCATACGAACTTGCTTCGTTACTGTTATTAAAACTCGGCCTAACATGTACGTTACGGATAACGTAAACGTTCAATCATAGGACCCATTATTTCTACTATCAGTCAAAATGCTGCCAGTGGGAACCACTCATTGAACTGTTACTAGAATGCTAGTAATACAAGCGCGAGAAAATACTATACTACACTATACTATTGCCGCGTTTGAGAATCTTTGATCACGTGATTCAGTATACGTAAATTGCCGCCTTTGAGAATCCACATCGGATGCATCTGAGATGTAAAAAAATCTTTGATCACGTGATTCAGTATACGTAAATTGCCGCGTTTGAGAATCCACATCGGATGCATTTTTTACATCTCGAGCGTTTTTTTATCGACATCGGACACATCTACTACATCTACATCTGCGTTTGTTTATCCCAGATGTACCTGTTCAGATTACATTTTTTACATCTCGATTTGAAATGAGATGTGAATGAGATGTTCGTTCCATGTCAGAAAGTAAGTGTTCTGTGAAGCCTTGTTTGTCAATTTATCCTTTGTTTATGCTAGCATGAATATAAAAGTTACTTACTCTGAGTATAAAAGTGATTAGTTTGTATAATTTTTGTTTATATTTCAAATTTAGGTTGATTTGTAGTCTCAAAAGTCAAATTTAATAAGTATAAAATTCTAACTTGTCATTGACATTTTATCACGTGACCAAATAAAGTCTAGAGCGTTTGTTTATTACATCTACATTCAGATCTAATTCTCTATCACGTGATAAAAAATTCACAACATCTCAGATGCATCCGATGTGGATTCTCAAACGCGGCAAATGTAATGGGACAGATGTGTCCGATGTGGATAAAAAAACGCTCGAGATGTAAAAAATACATCCGATGTGGATTCTCAAACGCGGCAAATGGGACAGGTGTGTCCGATGTGGATAAAAAAACGCTCGAGATGTAAAAAATGAATCCGATGTGGATTCTCAAACGCGGCATTAAATATCCATTTGAAAATCCACATCGGATGCATCTGAGATGTAGTAAATCTTTGATCACGTGATTCAGTATACGTAAAAATGTAATGGGACAGATGATGGACAGATGTGTCCGATGTGGATAAAAAAACGCTCGAGATGTAAAAAATGCAAGTTTTTGGTTACGTTACACCTTCACATTAGTAATCTATGGTTACACCGATGACATTTGAATGCTTAGCTAGGGATGGGCAAAACTGCTATTTTTAAATAACAGTTATAACAGTAACTGCTTTTTCTAAAAAGCAGCTTTCAAATAGCTGCTTTTTAATAGCAGTTTATTAAATCATTGCAACATGTAGTTCGACTACTCTGCTTAAGTGTTTACCGGTATTTCATTATTTACTAGTCGATCGGTGATCGCGTTCAAATCTGTTAAGGTGTCTTATAATGTCGAGTTAAATATCAACCTGTGCCGGTGGTTCCCCAAATTGTCAGAATAAATCGACGACAACGGGAATGGTAACAATTAAAAATTAGTCTTTGTATGCCATCACGTCCTCTCTGACGTAAGTTTTGTGTTGTGAGTTATTTTCTTAAAACAAATTTATTTGCTGAAAATATTTGTAAGAGGGCACAACATTTTTGGTCTAACCATAACTGTTATTGTACAGAAAAACATAAACATCCGTAGTGCACGTATAAAATACGACATTCGCATCAGCAACTTGCCATTGTCATCGTCGCATCACGCGCACCATGCACTCACAACACAGTCAAAAAGATCGGCGTATCTGAAATCGAAATATTAGTGAAAATGGTAAACTGCTATTTAAAAAGCAGCGATTTGTAATAGCCGATAGCAGTTGAAAGCTGCTTAGTTCAAATAACAGTTGTCAAAAAGCAGTTTACTAAAAAGCAACCCATCTCTATGCTTAGCACAATCTATGCTTAGCACGATGATTCACCAAGTTTGAATGGTATTCAAATCGAAATAACCTTTATAGAAAAGTGGTCTCTGGCCTCATCTATCGGACAAGTAGAGAACAGAGAACTTGACCGATATTAGAGAAACCTGTGAAAATGAAAATATTGGAAAATTATTTCGCAAATTTAAAATGGCGTTTAGGTGTTTGTGGGTTGAAATTTTTGCAAATAAATTAAAATTCGTATAATATTGCAATCAGTAGTAAATTTATCTGATCATGTGAATGAATTAATGTTTACAAAATCGGTTGTGATAATCTGAAAAAATTGATTATGCGGATAAAGACGTATAATATTAATTAGATATCATCGAAGTAGGTAGATCTCAGTTTAGCGATCCTATTCTTATAAATCTTTCGCTTTGTTGCCGGAATAAAAATGTAGTGAAAATCATGCTGAAAAATGGAAACGAAGTTGTGCCGAATTTGTGGAAAACTCGGACAAAACTTTGTACATATTTTCAAAACGGAAGGATTGAGGAGCAAAATCGAGACATGTCTGCCGATAATTGTGAGTATACACGGTTTTCAAATCAGTTAAATGCATTTAATTTATAAAAGAACGTTCAAAAATTGTACTGTGCATTGTTCTAGTAGGATTAACGATTATTTCTAGTGAACGATAAGGAATAATCGGCCGAAATGGAACAAAAACAGAAGAACGCCAAACGTGCTGGTGCCAATGAGCCCCATAACGTGCGATACGCCTCAAATTCGAGCACCGGAGTCCTAATGGTGGGCCCCAACTTTCGAGTGGGCAAAAAGATTGGTTGTGGTAACTTTGGGGAGCTTCGATTAGGTAAAAATCTCTACAACAATGAACATGTAGCCATTAAGATGGAACCTATGAAGTCGAAAGCACCACAACTTCATCTGGAATACAGGTTTTATAAATTACTGGGATCCCAGGAAGGTATACCTAATGTGTATTATTTCGGACCCTGCAGTAAGTACAATGCTTTGGTTATGGAACTATTGGGGCCTAGTCTGGAAGATTTGTTTGATATGTGTGAAAGGAAGTTTTCATTGAAAACTGTTCTGTTGATTGCTATACAGTTACTGCACCGCATTGAGTATGTACACTCCAGGCACTTAATTTACAGAGATGTTAAACCTGAAAACTTTTTGATAGGGCGAACTAGCACAAAGAGAGAGAAAATAATTCATATCATAGATTTTGGTTTGGCGAAAGAGTACATAGAACCTGAAACTAATAAACATATACCATATAGAGAGCACAAGTCCCTTACAGGCACTGCTAGGTACATGTCTATAAATACCCACTTAGGTAAAGAACAGTCTCGAAGAGATGATTTAGAAGCCTTAGGCCACATGTTTATGTACTTTTTAAGAGGGTCTTTGCCTTGGCAGGGGCTCAAAGCTGACACGCTCAAAGAAAGATATCAAAAAATAGGGGACACCAAAAGAGCTACATCTATAGAAACTCTTTGCGATGGTCATCCAGAGGAGTTTTCAATTTACATGCGGTACGTTAGAAGGTTGGACTTTTTCGAGACTCCTGACTATGAGTATCTGAGGAAATTGTTCACCACTCTCTTTAACAAAAAGGGGTATGCGGAAGACAGTGAATTTGACTGGACGGGAAAGACAGTAAACACTTCGGTGGGGTCCTTATCAACTACGGCTCATGAGAAAGTTACTTCACCTAAAAGAGGTCTCACCAAGAATGCAAAAGCAAGTGCAGCCCATGAACTCACCAAACCGCACACATTGGGAAATCTGACTCCAGCTGAAAGACATGATTCAGTTCAAGTATTAAGTTCTACAAACAATGAGCTAAATATTGATGATACTACAGCTCACAGTAATGCACCCATTGCTCAACCCCAGGAAATTGAGATTTTTGATGAGACTAAATGTTGTTGCTTTTTCAAACGAAAGAACAGAGGTGTGGCTAAACAGTGAAATTGCTGGATTTTAGATAAATCAATTTTATGTTTGTTTTTGTTTTATTGTTGTTACAAGTAGCCCAAATTTTAGATGCCAATTCATTATGTGGTTTGATCAAAATATTCACAGAATATTATTAATTTTTTTTGTTACAAATATTTTATCATGATATGTGTTTTCAAATATCATCCACTTCTTAAATGTACATTTTGTGCAGCTATTCTTAACCAATCTATATCAATATGTATAATATACAGCTGGAATGCTCACTCATGTATTTATTCAGAGCCTTGCAGGAGTTTGGGGAATAGGTTTTATGATATCGAAATGTTTTCAGATTATCATATAATATATATAATATGCTAATGCAGGAAATGTGTTGTCAAAAATTAATTTCAGAAGGGAGAGTGAAGTTAATTTATGTGATTATTTATTATAGTTCCAATACCAAAAGTTGTATTCAATATATTATATCACAAATTAATAAAATACAACAGCTCAATAATTTTACATTTGCAGTACAAAAGTAATGACAACCCAACAAGCTTGCCTACTAGATCTTTGTAGCATCAAACGTAATGAATAGCAAAGAATCAAGCTATAATGAAGTTGATCATAAAAATATTTGAAAAATGTATGCAAGGAATGAGGGTTAACTAATAATCGCATTATTCTTGTGGACAAAATGTTGCTTCCATCTAAATGTACCAAGTATGATTATCAGCTATTAGGGCCAGTCTTTTCACCTCTGAGTAAAGTTGAAAGTAACTACTTGCTGATTAAACTATAGGGCTTGTTCCGTTTTCATTTGAATGTTTCAAATATTGTTGCTGCTCTGAAAGCACTCAAAAGATTGATTAGTCCTGTACGGCAGTCATTAGTTCTCATTGTATTTTCTAACAGCTCGGTTAAGACAGCATGTTATTTTTTTCATTATTGTATTCTGTTTTTATGTATTTCAAGTTATAAAGTGTTTTTTTTTGTCAGTTTTATCAGTTCATTTAATCTCAGTTCTGTGTTACATTATCAAACATAAGTGTACAATCGAGTACAAACATACAATTTATTACAGGGCTATTGTTTGTTAATCTGTCAAGTAAACCTACATGTAACTTTACTCAGAGCTGAAAAGATCCCTTAATATGATTATTATTCACTTAAAGGTATTATAAATAATTACATTATGAATGATATAATCAAAAAAATTCCTATTCAGATCAAAATGTGACAATTTTTTACATTTAGCATTTGATCATTTAAAATTTTTATTTACTATTTCTATATATTATATTTGATAGTTAAATAGACAACTAGATTGGTAATTTCCTATAAGCTTAAATGATGAATAATATTCATGGTATTCCAGAGAGCAAAGCCAGTTTAATTATAACGTAAAACCAAATTGATAACTCACTCTTATAGTCATTAGATTTTTTAAAACTCATATTTAGATACTTTTGAGGGACTTTGGGAATGGCTTTTTACAGCATTAATTTTTTTAAACTTGAATTTTTGATTTGACACTTCTACAATTTAAGACATATCAATGTCAGTTAGATCATAGACACAATATAAAGAAATAAGACTGGATATTCCTATATGTACTTTGTTATGATTTGAACTTAACTAATGTCAACAATATTTTCAATAGTGACAAAGGCCAAAAGTACTAATGTCAACAATATTTCCAAAATAGTGACAAAGACCAAAAGTATCCTTTATAGATAAGAAAAATTTGTGAAATTAAAGTATTATTCTATGAGAGTGTTTATGAAGTTGCCAATGACCAGTTATAATATCCCGACAATTCATCCCCTTTAGAAGAGGAAAATCAGGAGAATATCACTTCATCATTGACATGATAGTACACAGTCATTCAAATCTAGTTGTATTAACAAAGGAATACAATGTGTTAGTGATGACGTAATTTGAGTGCCAAATAAAGTTGTTTATAGACTAAATATTTAATTTTTGAAGTATTATTTCATATAAGTGATTTTAAAGCTTAACAATTCTGCAAAATAACGAAAACAGATGTTAGATATCCATTAACATTAATATTTCTACTATTTTCATGATTATATTCATTTAAAAGTACACCGCTGTAATAATTACATTAAAAATATTTTTTTATATAAAACTTTAAAATTCTTTTTACGACCTGCATACAATATTAAAAAAAAAAAATCTAAAAAAAGTTCAATTTTACATGTCAAAATCAGTGACAGAATGGTTTGTGTTTGAAACACATTATGTGACACTAATACTGTTAATACGCCACCCATCAAATCCTACAACGAACCATATATAGAAAAATTGACATGTCTGATGTAGAATCTGTACCACTGTTGTCTTTGACTGCTTAAAGATGGATAACCTGGCACTTGATGAATATTTCCTGCTGACAATTTCTTGATTTTATTCTTTATTCTAACTTATAAGTCGGAACCATATATATATCATGTATTATGACAAACTGAAAACATATAATAGTTGCAACCCTTTAAATTCAGCTTAGGTCTATGTATTCCAAATGGGCATAAATTCGCATTTAAAAACCATGCTGTGACTAGTGATCGCACGACAAAAACCTCGATAGTAACTCTGCGGTACATAGGGCAAACACTGTACTTAAAATTCGCCATTTGCCTGTCAGAAAAAAATTAAATAATACTGTTGAAAATTGGAAGTCAATCTCATGGGTTTTAACACCCGAAAATGGAGGTGAAATTCTTGAAAATTTGATCAAACTTCATATTCATTAATTAACTCCTGGACAGTGGCACACGCTGGGGAAAAATGAAATTTGGTGGAAAAGTTCGGGTCCCAGTTATATATATTTATTATTATTTTAAAGTAAATCTAAAACCTATTTATAGCATGTGTGTACTTTTGGATTTTAACTTTTTATTGTTTTGTCTTCAAATTTCATTTCTGCCTGTCGTTTTGCATTGCAAATTTGTTGTGGTAAAGGAAAAAAATTTGTAAGGACATTAAAAAGTTTTTAAATTACGATTTTTATCTTATCAAATTGTACCTATTTGATGTCAGGGTTCCCATCAACTTAAGAAATTTTTATTAGGGACAACCTTGATACATTTGTAGGCCAAGTATCTAAGATGGTGCTTTATAGGAAAAAAATGTTGTAAGCTAAGTTTCACAATATTGTTATTTATATATAAAAAAAGAAATAAACTTCATTGTTTTTTTTTCTTATAATTTACTATAAAAATGTTACCATTTTTTTTTTTTTTTTTTCAACAAAATGTGCTTGATTTTGTTATAGAGCTGTTCTGTTCATGTTAATATTTGTTAGTTGTATACAATTTTTTTCACCTATGTACTGCCAAGGAATCAAATATGTATCTGCATGGAAAGAGGAAAATTTGGTGGGAACCCTGTATAGAGAAGGTGAGTTCATAAAGAACAATGCAATATTTTCTATTTAATATGAACAAAAAACCTAAATTATGGGATAGGTTTCACAATTTCTAATTTCTATTGTATTTTGAAAAGGACAATATTAAAAATAATTTATCATTTATTTTTTTTAAATGTGAATCAATTTTATGTCTTATTTGCCTAATACACTCTATTCTGGAATATTAAAATTACTGTTCTTTTCAAAATTTTTATTTTTAATATTGTAAATAAACAAATAAATTAAATTCACAGAGTATGCCTCAAATTATCAAGTAATTTGTGTTTGTATAATGTTTTTTAACGATTAATTTGTGATATTAAATATTTAAAACTTCTTAATGTTTTTTAATTCATCACTAACAATTTGTTTCTTTGACCCTCATGACAATTTTCAATAAAATGAATTACAAATTTAAAACATTTTCTTTCTCGCTTACACTCTTATAATTATTATTTATATTCTTAAAAATAAAAATACAGGGTTATTAATTCATTTAAAATACCTAGTTATATAAAATTAAAATTGTTTTTATTTAGGAAAATTATTTAACAACTTTCAAAAAATGGATACAGGAAATATGTAAACTATTTAAACGGTACAAATTTGGTACATTCTTATGAAGTAGGTAACATTTTAATAAAATTATCAATATTGGCTAGCTCTGTGAAATACGATTTACACTATATTGATATAATGATTGACCATTTTAAATACTTTTAGAATTTCATAAAATCAAATTACCACTATATTATACTCGTCTTCATAACTTAGTTAATCTTCAAATAATTCCATAATCAAGGTTAGTCTTTGTTTGTTTCAAACAACATACAGCAAAACTAATCATATTCTAATTTGTATATTATTTTGCTGGGTTAAGTAATTTGCAGTAATCAGTAATACCTTAATAAAAAAAATAATCTAAAAAAAATAATCTAAAAAAAAGAAATTTAAATCATATGTAAATAAGAAACTAACAAACAAATATAACAGTGTCTAGTGTCTAAAGGAAAACAATAATAATATAAAGTAATAAATGCCATACTGAAGAAGGCGCTGATAAGTGACTGAAAGCTCTAACAGGCTTTTTATTTAATCCATACAGGCACCTAAAAGACCAAGAGCTTACCACAAAAATTATACCTGCATGTTTGTGTTAAATATTACCAATTTTTATATAGTGGAAGTATTTTACCCAAAATTTGAAATGTTAATTTTTTATTATGTAATTTACGTTTTCCCTAATTCCACAATTTTTCTTAAAAATTTAATCGAATAAAGTTTTAACTTTAAATTGAAAAACATTACTTTTATAGTTTTTTTTTTTGTAGTAGGTAATAGCTTGGTAGGTATTTCATGATAATAGACATTCAAAAGTACAATAATATAGTGTAATATAAAATCACAAAGAACTGAAAATAAATACTAAATAAAAATATTTGGTCAATCATTATTTTGTTTTTAACACAGGTACGTTATTGTTCAATCTAATATCTAACTTTCTGTTGTAAATAAAATCTTCATTTCGACCATTACCGTTTTGCAAACTATTTTTAGTGATACGTCATGAAAGAACCACATTTTAAACCTTTTTTCATTAATTAACAATTAATATCCATGTGTGCTACCTTTTCAAACTAATCTGTGTACATATTCGTATTGTTGAAATAAATGATCGTAATATTTATTATCTATTGTTCACTTATATTTTATTTAAATAAATTATTATTTTTTTGTAATGCAAAAAATAAATATTACATTTGTTTATTGGTTTGTAATGTTTTAACACGTACTCTATAGTCAATCTCTGAAAATCTAGAAAATTAATTAGTTTAAATTGAAACAAATTAGTTTTCAGCTTACTTTTGTAGTGAACACTTTTCAAATTAGCCTTATTTTTCATTTCAAAAAAATAATATTTATAAAAAAAATGTATGACCTTGTGATTGAGTCCCTGAAAAGCATAGCTTGTGTGGGAAAAAGATCGTTATTATTTTTGTTATTTACCAGGTCATTCCTTGAAGATTTGCTCTACCTATTTTCAATGTTGTTAATATTTTCTAGTGGAACTAGACATATATTGGAAGATATATTTTAAAATTACTTTTACTTTAAACAAAAATTAAAGCGTTTCCCAAAGTAGTTCTGAACATTTTTCATTCCAAATGCCCAATTTCCGAATTTAATTTCTTCTCCATTATAAAATTATTTCATTTTGGCAGATAGAGGTCTCCACTCGGTTTCTAGCTGCCTTCTTCCTGCAATCCCTACTCTAACCACTGTTAAGCGTCGTCTACTTCTCCTTGGATAATTATTTGAAATTCATTTTCTCCTCAATGAGGTCAGGAAATATCTATTAGTATGTAGAGTTCATGGTCTAGCTCTTTAAAATATTGACACATTTTGAAGATGTTGACAATAATTTTTCAAACATTGACCTTCCAATTTTCCAGGTTGTTCATAAATGCTTTCAGAGAATCCATGTATTTTAAGATGTTATTTTTTAATAGATCATCATTAATGATACAAAACATCAGTTTATTAATATTTCATCAATATTTACACAATTATAACAAAAGTAAGCTAAATTGAATCGGAAAATAAATATAGTAGATAAAACAGAATAATATATTACACAATCTTGATAAATGTTCTAGATTTAAGGATTTGATAAATTGATTGGTATTGTTATTTTTTGTATGTATATAATATAAAATACATACTTTAGATATAACAAATGCATCACAAGCAATGATGGCATCGTTTTCATCAACATTTTGGTTTTTACTAAACTTTCTTATATAGTAGGTAGAGATGAAATTATTTAGATGTATCAACAATGTTGGATGTATTAGAATTTGATTTTCACTTAACTTGTGCCACGACTATGCACATACTTTGTGTTAAACATGACATGACCGGTGCACAGCAGGGACTCAGTCTGATCACGGAAGTCCAAATGTAAAATCAGCCTTCTGAGTACTTTTTTGAGATAACATTTAAAAGTAACGAATAACTTTAGAAATATTGTAATTTAGAATGAATGCGATAATTGTTATGAGACTCAATTGTATTATGACCATTTTAACAATACCAATCAATGATGACCATGAAAATCACGTGAAAATGCTTACTAATCAACAAAATTTATATTTAACAAAATAATTTGCTCATGTTTCGCATTTTTAGGTGACTCCTTATTGCCTTCTTCCCGATACAATATGTGGAGAATGTACGGAAAATGTAGACAATTTCTACATGTTCATAAAAAACTGTTTACAGAATATCATCATATTAGAAGCCCAATACGACATTCAAGAGTCATGCTTGAAATCCAAACAAAAAAAGGACAAAGGTTGTTACGTGGATTTTCAACACAAAAAAATCAATAAAGGAAATCAAACCGAGGATTATTTGGATGTTATTAGCGGAAAAAAATTCGATTTCGATAATTTGAGGAAGAGTTTTCCTCTCTGCGTAAACTTTTTGGACAATCAGGATGATTTTATAAGAAAAAATATTAATAAGTTAGTTGATTATGATGTGGATTCCGATTCGAGCTTAGAAGAACATTTTCAAAACGAAGGGCGAGTAATTTTAAATGAAAATTTTGAACCTGATTTGCAAACGACACGTTTATTAAACATTTTTGCTACCAAAAACGACCTACCTATCAAAACTCAGTACTTCGACGACTCCGAAAAAAATTTGATAAGCGAAATTTCCCAAAGAAAAAAACTGAAAAGAAAAAACGATTTTATCGAAACTTCCAAGCCAAAAATTTATAAAGTTGATACATCGAACAGGAGGAAAAATAAAGTACCAAAGAAATTAGATACTCAAGAAGTTGGCGAAGAAAGCAATGTCGATTTTGGAAATTTTGAGAACAAAATTGAATGTGAAACGCAAAATAGAGAGACTGAAACCACGTTGCATAATTTTAATAACCAAGTAATTTTTTTTTGTATTATTATTTTTTTTAGTCACTATTAAGTTACGAGGGGTGTTCAATAATTCCACACGACAATGATAAAAACATGTTATTTTTTTCAAATTATTTTTAGTTGGGTGTTAGGTTATCGATTAGAAAACTTCTTGATCCCTCTTAGTTGGTATGATTTTTTAATTATGTGGTGTAGACTTTTATGTCTAATTCCTTTGGTGATTTCCATTTTTTTATGATGGCAAACATGATTAATAAGGGTAACGAGCCATTTAATTACGAGGTGATTTATCTAAATCCTATTTTTATTGAAACAACTTTAAACTGTACTTATAATTTGTCAAGAAACGTAAAAAACAATAAATTGAAAACATGCAGCCATTTATATCTTAAGAACAAAAAAATTGTTTTAATCCGTTTCGGGTGTATGAAGGAACAGCCTAAGTGTTACCGAATCTCTCCTTTCTAACGTTTTAAGCTCATAATTAGACATTTCAACCACCTGTCAAACAATAGCTGCCTAAATCTAAGGGGGTTGCGACATAGCCGTCCATCTCGTACCCTATTTTTATTTAAAATAGTAGTCGCCAAGCCAGCCAATTCATTGATATATATGATATTTTCATTGTGTTCGACATAAACTATTTAAATTTAATCCATTCATTGTGATTTCACCTATTGTAGATAGACTATATCGCATGTTGTTCTAGACATACCAAACCTTAGCACCTCTTTTCATTTGTTTGAAATGCCTATTAACCCCATAAAAAACCTGCAAATTGACGTATCATTGCAAAACTCGTTAAAAATGTTTTCCAAGAATACTAATTGATAATAAAGATGCGTTTTCTGCAGTATAACATATAAATTAAAAGCCCGTGGTCGTTCCTAGGCATAGTAGCTTTTGATCTTAGTGTTGTTCTGTTTGCCGTTTAAAAACAACACCAAATAAAATTACCAAAACATACCTCTTGGATGCCATGTTGCCTACATTTAGCGTTGTCTGTAAAAAGGTATAGGCAACTCTTTTAGAACAGTAATCAGCGACGATTTTATAATTCAAAATATTTGTTGATGAAGTAATTTTTTACTTCGACCCAATTAAATCAACGAGAATGCAACAGTTTTACAACAAAGAATACATACCGTTTCATCCTGGTTTGGACGAATTTTTCTAATTGTTATTTTACAGGTCGTGGTAATTGCTCTAAATGTTTTTGTTTCTATTTTGAAATGTATGTCTACGGTATTTACATATGAATTTTGCATTTAGAATGATTAATGAGATATAAATTTATATTTTGGAATATTGAAAATGTAATAGTTTAATAGACCATACGGTATACAATATTTATAAGAAACGATAAAATATACGTAATCAAATTTTTTTTCAACTTTCGATAGTAAAGTTATTATTATGAACATATTAAAAGTACTGATATATTTTACATAGAGAACGGAAATATTTTGTGTAATGTACATTTTTTATGAAACCATTTCATTAAAGTAGTCAAAAAATTATGCAAACAAATGTTTAAAAGTAAAAAATTATCGATTCTACGATAAATACTTTCTCTGGGAAACTGATCAGAAAAGTAATTATATTGCTATATATTCTTACAATATTAAATAAATCGAGCCCTATTCGCTGTATATGGCTATGCCTATGCTAACATTACTATACCTTATTCCATGTAAAGAGTGATCCACAATAAATGTTTATAAAGTAGACAGACAGTCTAAAGATAGTCATGTCCCGTGTTAACTACGTGCGGCTCTAAAATAAATCCAAACTGACACTTAAAAAGAAGAAAAATTGTAACCAATGACATGCGTGAGTTTTTTCCAAGGCCTACTTTAGAAACATTTTTGTGGATCACTTCTTATTTTGTCACATTACACATTTCCTCACCATCCTAAATGTCCTTATTAAACAGTTCAATGTTCAAATAGTACTCTAAATACACAAAAAAAATTATAAAAATTACAAAATAAAAATTGTAATGAATAAAAAACTCATTAGTTCTTTAAATTAAAAAGGATGACAAATTTTAAGTGGTAAATGCGAAAAAGCCGGACGGATTCCGTCAAACTAATTGTCAGTATATGTTTTAGTTATTGAGATTAAATGTCAGTTATTATTGTGTAGAATCGATCAATAATAGCATTTCTATTTTTATTTCCTCTATATTTACAAATAAATCATACATTTTATTAAAACTATATGAAAACAATTTAATTACGAGTATTAAAACTAAATTGTTAGGTGTGTCGATGTAGCCAAGACTAAGGCATTTGGCTGTCATGCGAGAGGTCCCAGGTTCAAATCTAGTATTGGAGATGAATTAAATTAAACCTTTTTTTTTTCAAATTTATTTTATTTCTAAAATTAGTAAAATTCATAAAGTAATTTTTAAAATTTGTAGATTTTCGTTAGTAGGTCGTAGAAAAAATATACCGTACGACTCGAGTGGATTGTCCGTATCGCACTCGGATGATTGAGCACCCGCCTACGACGTCGGGCTCAAACTTCGTCTTTGTGCAATATGGCAGTCATATCCACTCTTGTTGCACAAAGTCCTACTTTGAGAGAAGAGATCTGACACCATGTGAATATCCTCTCGTCAGGATTATGTTGCGGACACAATAAAAAAAAGGCCAACCATAGACACATGTTTCTGAGTGTTGACCTTTATCAGTATGGTTCAGCTAAGCTCAAAAAATCTGATGTGTCCAACACATGACTTTCCTATCTAGTTATTACAGGCTTTTTCCGGTTATTTTGTACAACCTATTCCAGCACCTCTATAAATGTTTAGAGGATAAACTAAATATATACATTTTCCACATATATTTACCTCGAAACATTTTTCTATAGATATTCATTGAAAACGAAAATACTAAAAAATTTAAATTTAGCACTTTCCTACAATTTTTTCATTACGGTCCATTTTAGAAAAATCATGTATAAACAAAAATTATAGAGATCGATATCGCAAACAACTTTTATTTCAAAAATTTTCATAATAATCAGAATTTTGCACATTTTGTCAAATTTCTCGAATAGGGACCATTTCAGGAAATTTTTACCTAAAACAAAAAATTATAGATAATAATATTAGAAGTAACTTTTATTTGAACAATTTTTTTCTCCAAACATTAATAACAGATATATTCCATAAAATATAAAAACGGCCTCCCATAAAGTACCCCCCCAGATGTTCCGACTTTGTCCAAAATCTAATCATTTCACGTCAGGCCGAAATAAAACTTAAGTTTAAAATTTAATGTTTTTTTCTTTATCCGTTTTTGAGTTTTCTTCAAATTTCGAAATTTACACATTTTCTTAAATATCTCGAATACGGTCCATTTTAGAGAAATTATGTATAGGACAAAAATTATAGAGAATTATATTACAAACAACTTTTGTTTGAACAATTTTTATAAAAAAATATTTTTTTACATTTTGTCAAATTTCTCGAATACGGACCATTTTAGGAAAATTTTGTATAGAACAAAAATTATAGATAATAATAGAAGTAACTTTTATTTAAAGAATTTTCTTCCCCAAACGTAAATAACATATATATTCCATAAAATATAAAAATGACCACCTATAAAGTACCTCCCCAGATGTTCCGACTCTGCCCAAAATCTAATCAGCTCATTGGACGCTGGAACAAAGCTTAAGTTTAAAATTTGGTGTTTTTCTGTGTATCTGTTCATGAGTTATGCGACACACAGACACACACACACAGAGATCATCGCGAAAATAGTCAAAACGGATTCAGGGGACCTCAAAACGTAAAAATCCGTCGAAAACTCGAGGTCGAAAAAAATCATGATTCCTATACTCTCCTTATATCTGTATACAGATAGGAAAGTAAAAAGCATGGGACTTGCGACGAAATCAAAACAAGCAATAGGAGATCACTCATGGAACCAACCTCACACTTGTGGCTTTAGGCAACATACCCAGGAAAATACCAGCGTTCTCTGAGGCAGTTATAGCCACCATGTTGATGCGTCCCAGTCCAAGGAAACTACCAAGTGAAGAAAATTTAGTGCGCGAAATATCCAACAAAAAAAAAGGTATAAAGGGCATATCCTGCAAATAAAAAAAAACACGTCTACAGTTTGCGGAAAAGTCTATTATTCCCTTTTTTCTTAGATATTTCCTGTACTAATGCTACTTCTCTTTACAAACTTAATGTAAACAAAGCGTATCCTTGTGGCTTCGACTCATCAGTCAGTCCACTTGACTTATCAAAGAGTTTGTATACAAATTGTGGCTACCCGTTGTTACCTAAAAAGAGTTTTGTTAATCTCCTTATCAATACACAATAATGTGAAGTTTACCTTTGGATTTATCAGTTAATAAAGTAGGTACTGGCTCTGAATTAATAACGTAATAAGACAATGGTAAAAAAGTTTCTTAAATAAATTAAATACTCCTAATTTTAGTATTAGTACAGGATCCGAAGTAAGGCCGACCTTCATCCATTTGTTTAACGGATGAAATTTTTTTTTTATTATTAAATTAAATATGTTTATACATATACCGCAAATGGGTTGCCTGAGAAAATACGGTCACGGCCATTTTTTACTTTCTGTATACAGAAAAGAAAAGTATAGTAATCATGATAAAAGTTGTTTGTGATGTCATTATCTATAATTTTGGTCCTAGACATGATTTCCATAAAATGGATTGTATTCGAGATATATGAGAAAAAATTTCGAATTTTCAAGATAAAAGGATAAAGAGAAAAATACCAAATTTTAAACTTAGGCCATAATCCATCCTGCGGTGAGCTGATTGAATTTTGGGCCTAGTCGAAGAATCTGGGGAATACTTTACAGGGTGTCGTTTTTTTTACTTTAAGAAAAAAAGTAGTCTTGACCGTATTTTCTTAGGCAACCCATTTGCGGTATATTTAGAAACAAATTTAATTAAAAAAAAACACTTTTATCCGTTAAACGGATGGGTGAGGGTCGACCTTTACTTCGGATGTTAGACTATTCGCGATTCAAGCTAAGTGATACGCGGAATTTCGCTACGTCGTCTGACTTAGTCCTCGAAAAAGTGGAAAGACCTTTTTTTAAGTAGTAAAATTTGTGTCTAGCATTATGTAATAATGCTCTATATTTATTTAAGGATTTTTTTATAAAACCGATTTATTGTTTTTTTTTACTTCAGTTCATTTATCAATTTTGTTTTAAAATCAGTCATCATTTGGTAACACTGTTTATATTTTAAATTGATTTTTTTACTTTTGAGCTTTAAATTTTTTTATTTATTATAGTACGTGATTATGTTTATATTAAAAATGAAATATGCGAAAAAGCCCCCAGCAAATTGCAATCTATATATTTATTGTTAAATGTCAAAATCAAAACTGAAGTGTTCATTATTTTCCAAGCGTGAAAAGATAGATAGTATGAGTTACTGCTCTCCAAAAATTAGCGTTTTAATAAGAATGAAATAGTTTTATAAATTATGAAACAGTGCTATCGCCTGCAACAATAATTATAGTAGCCCATCTCTACGTTTAGGTCTAATTTACCAACCAGTGAATGTCTAGCATCATACACGTTAATGTACGTAACGATACATTTCAACAATATTTTCCTATCTAGTTTGGCTTTGGTTTTTGTCGTTTTTTTTTTAAAGTAATTTATCCACGAAATGATTATTAATTTTGTATACATAGCTCACGAAATCCGTTTTTCTCAATGTTACAAAAGCGGTTCGTTTTTAATGAAAATACGTATCCATTCGTAAGTGGTGTGGTCTATTTCATATTGCACGTATTTATTGAACAACCCTCTTATATATAAATAAATATGCTTTGAATAAAAATATAATCTTTATTAATTTTGAAATATTACATGACAGATTATCTAGTAATTTCTTAGTTTAATGGTTTGCCCGTATTTTAGAATGAGAAGCTGCTACTGTCCTTGCCCCAAAGCTGTTTGTTATGTGATACTCATTTTTCTGGTCCTTCCGCCCTAGCCACTCATGTATTCGAAGTCCATGGCATCGACATGGCCGAAGTTGTCTCTTCTGGTTCAGGTGAATCCTTTCCGGAGAAGAGTAAGAAAAAGTTACCGAACCTAGTGAAAATTTCCGATCTCAAAAAGACTGATTCCTTAGGTAAGTTGATCATTCGGTGCCTATATACTCAGCTATTTGTATTAAATTATACTATTTTTTATTGCAGATGATAATCATTATGATAGACAACTAGAAACTCAATCCACAAAACATTCTGATCTTTGTTGCCCCAACTGTAGCAGCATTTTTACTAGCAAACAAGATCTAATGATGCACCTTAAGCTAAAACATGCACAATTAGCGGGTTTCGTGTGTGGCATTTGTCTTCATCAATGTTCTTCCTTGATGAATCTCAAATCTCATTTGGAGACTTGTACGCAGCAGAATCCAATTAATAACAAATACGTTTGTCAAGTGTGCCAATACGGAGATGAAAATTTTAAGTGGTTAGAAAACCACGTCTTGGTTCACGAGTTCTTGCAGGAAGCTTGTAAGAAGCGGATGAAGATGTTTGATCCAGAAGATTACATTGATATTAATGAAAATACTTGTTACAAAGGTTTAAGTTGCACCGAATGCGGACTGGATGAGTTTTTCTCTTTCAAAGAATTCAGCGCTCACCGAAGAAACAACCATAATATCTTCCATTGCGATCTTTGCAACAAGTTCTACGGTCGAAACTCACATCTTTGGAAACACGTCAATAGGTTGCACAAGGGACATCCGAGTATAACTTGTCAAATGTGTTACAAAACATCGGCTTCCAAGTATCATCTGTCACAGCATTTTAATAAGATCCATTTAGCCAAAAGCAGTAAAAAATCTAATCATATAGGATTAATCGAAAAAGAAAACAAAGAGGAATCTACCAACAAATTTTCCGCTTTTGACTTCCTATCGATCAGAGAAAACTTCTTAAAACAAGAGCTAGTAGAAAATAGCGAACAAGACGATAATTCAAATCAACATTCGGACGGAGACGAAGATATGATTATTAAAGAGGAATTTGACGATGATTCGAATATGAAGGAGGAACATCCTTTAGCACCGAAGGAAATAGATTCTTCTCACGACATGTACAATAACATAATAACTAATTACACCCCACCCATAAACGAGGGTGATTTTAAATGTCCTAAATGTTCCAAAGGTTTTAATAAAAAGCTCCTACTCAAGAAACACAAGAAAAATTGCAGGCCGAGAATGCAAAAAGATTTGCTGACGCGGTGCAAAACTTGTTCGAGAGTTTTTAAAGATAGGCAGAGTTTAGCCAAACATTTAATCAACTATCATTCAGAATACAGCTGCGAAATTTGTTTAGAAAAAGTCCAAAGCAAATGCGAGATCGTCTCTCATATCAGATTTCGCCATCCAGGTTGTCCTCTTTTCTGTAGGATATGCAAAAATATATTGAGATGTAAGAGCGACATGCAGGAACATGTGAGGAATCATTTTGATTCTCACGTTTGCCAATTTTGCGGTGATTCTTTACCGAGCAAAATCAAACTTAAAATGCACATACTGAGTTTGCATCGTAAAATCTTGAGCTTATCTTGCGGCATTTGCCTCAAACTGTTTGAGAATCAATACGTGCTTAGAGATCACGTCAAATTGGTGCATAAGGATCAACTGACCCCTCACACTTCTTGCTCCGTTTGCGGGAAAAATTACGGCTCAAAATGGAAAACTTACGATCATATCAATAAATCGCATGGAAGGATATTCAGGGCTTGCAAGACTTGTTTGGAGATCTTCGATAATGATGCTCAACTTCAAGCACATTGCGATGTTACCGCTCATGGCGGCCAAATCGGTAACAACGCTAATGCTGCTGCACTCAGAAACAGTATTATGGCCCATATAAAGTCAGCATTAATCGTCAATCATGAAGAAGATAGCATCACCGATGAAGACGGAAATAGCGAAAGCGAATTCGATAATGAATCAGCGCCTTATGAAGAGGACAGAAAATTTTTCTTTCCTATTCAAGATGACGCGAAAATATCACTATTAGAAAAACGTCTCATAGGCAAGACTTTAGCTGATGAAGAGATTAACATTAAACCGAAACTTCCTGTTACAAAAAAATCTAAATCGTTATCATCATCCAAGAGCAAGCAATCTATCACTATTAAAAAAGAAGATCCTGATAACACTCAAGCGAATTGCTCCAAACGAACCGTTTACGTGAACAGTAACGATCCGTCATACTGTGAAATTTGTTACAAAACTTGGCCAGCTAAAAAACATTTATGGCAGCACTATATCCGTTGCCATAAGTCTATCGCAGCAACTGTGTGCGGAATATGTCTGAAGACGAATACGGACTATGAATCGTTGCAGCAACATCTAAGAGACAATCATCCGAAACTGTTGCACGGTCAAGGGTTTGGTTCGAATTTCATTTGCAAGATTTGCGGCAGATACCATAACGCTAGCTCCAAATTGAGATTACACATGGTCATTCATGATAATTTCGATTGGAAGTTGATAGAGGCTGCTGATAAAGATATCAAACCTGCTAATGGCTTCAAAGTTAAGGAAGAGCCTCATTTTGAAGATAACATTAATTATGATAGTTTGATAGAGCAAGTGGAATGTTCTTCGGAAACTGATAATGATGAATATGATGACAATGAGCCGCAAGTCAAGCAACAGGATTCTTCGAGCTCGGAGGAAGATGGTAGAGTTGGGAGTGAAGATGATTCTGCATTAAGCTGGGTATGTAAATTTTGTAATTGTGTATTGGCTATTCGCTCCGTGCATGATGACAGCGCCAACTAAAATATGTACTAAAGGGGGATTTTTCGTGTATTGACAGTATCATTTTTAATAGAATTCCTATTTATAAAATGTACTTTTTGCTTTTAATAAAAGTATATTGACTTATAAAACAAGTGAAAAGATTCATATTTTTATTATATATTTTTGTTACTTCAGCTTAAGTATATTAAATAAAAAAAATATTAAAACATGTGCACAGAACAGGTAATTAGGCAACAGTATTTTCAAGAAAGTATATGAAAAGTTCTCTAATGAAGTTAAACGTGTATTCAAAATTTATTCCCAAAAAAATAGTTGTAATATTGTAGTATTTTCGAATGTAATTTATACTTGTTTTCTTCATTTTTAGTCTGAAAGAAAACATATAATTAATTATTAAATAACTGTTTTCCAATCAGTCAGTCACAAAATTGCATTTCAGATACAGACAATCAGAATCAAAGGCAGGTATATTTAGATTTTGAACATGTACTTAAGGAATTTTGAAGAACATCGTAAAATAATAATTATATTATATAAAACCTTTCAGTTTTTTGATGTCTACTATTTTCAATAGGTATTAGATACTCTTGTTACAAAAATAAAGGTTTGGAATTACTTTCCCTTCTTACTGCAATTATAGGTACTTTTATTTCTTTGATTTAATTTCCATTTTGCTAATGAACATTTATAAAATACACTGTTTTTTGCTAGTATTTTTACAATTTACAACACAGCAACTCCGGTTGTTCATTGTATTGCTTTTAATTATTTTTTTTTAAATAAGTAAAATATATACGTATATTTTATACGCCAAAATGACAAAATATCGCCCTAAAGTGTACGAATTATCCGCAGCTAGCGCTAGTACGGCTTTTGCTGCCCCTACCACGACTTTGCACTGAGCGAATAGCCGCTGTAGATGACTTTTCTGTATTCGTGCATATTCCTAATTATTTTTAATACTTTTTTTTTTATTGAAAAAATACAAGAGTTCTAGATTAAAAAAAAACACCGTTTGACTCGAGGTGAGTTCAGGCTGCACTCTCCAGAGTGGATTAAAAGAATAATTCCTTTCATTATAAAAATTATGCAAATAAGATAATACATAATTGTTGCTTAACACTAATATATCATACTTAAGGTCATTTATCGCGAAGGTTATAATATTTAAATATGAGGCACCAAATTTAAACCTTTTTTTATTAAAATCAGACCTGAAATGTACGTAAAACATTTTACATCTGACATCCGAGCTAACCTGTTTGGTTCAACTTGTAGTGCATTGCCATATGTCTTAGACTTAGATTGTCTCTTCAGTTTTTAACAAGAAATAAAATTCAACATACACTAAGGTATGAAAACGCATCGGAAAATACATAGGAAGAGTGTACTGTCAGAAAGATATTGTGGACAAATTTAATGCAAACAAGGCGTATCTATTCTATCCGATATCTTTGTCAATAACACAAAACTAACTTCACATTTTAATATAAAAATCATCGATTTAGCGCTTTTTTTATAATTTATATATAAAAAACTAACCCATTTTTCATTATTGTAGAATCAAAAGGAAGCAAACCCACAAATACAGCAATCCCAAGATGCTCCACAACAACACCAATATTCATCATCCAGCGAAGACTCAACTTCGAGTTATTGCAGAAGCAAATGCAGTTCCTCTGACGACGATTGCTCTCAAGAGTCTAGATCCGTATCGTCACAGTTCCAGAACAAGTTCGCCATCAAAACTGAACCGTTTCATCCAATATCGAATTTGGAAAGTGTTGATGATGATGATGATGTTCTGAACGCCACCAACAATGCGAACATGTTCGATAGGAAGCCTGAAGAGCTCGATTCGGCGATCAAATCTATAAGTTATGATGACTGCATTGAAACAGTAGATCTCAACGTGGTCGACGATTATTGCGACATTCAGAATAATTGTTTGAACGAGAACGAAATTGAATCGGCAGTTGGTAGCATACTTTAAGAATTTTGTGTATACATGGGGTGGTTTCCAGTGTTGTTTTAGCGAGATTTGTAAATGTCTCTTTGCAGGCGAAATCGTACTAATTTTATTTTTATATGATGTCAAAACATAGTTTGGATTCATGTTAATGTATTTATAGAAGCATTCAATTATCATAAAAAGATATCAAATCAAAATTTGACATATTCAACCTGAAGTTAAATCAGGGGAGTGTGGAAGTTAGATAACTGGTCGATTATGTTGAATCTAGCGTTGTGCTTTAGAAAAAGATATAAAAAAATGAAAAAAAAAAAAAAAACGACACTGGAAATACCGTATCTATTTTTCTTTTTAGGTATTTTTCTATTGAAAGCCATACAATTCGAAGTTTACCTAAACTAATTTAATAATTTAAGATTCTGAACGTTTTTAGAAGAAGAAAAATACCCTACAACTAAGGCACAGTTATCAGCAATAACAGGAAAGGTCGATTTTTTGAAATAAAAAAAAAAATATATTAAATATATAAAATCAAATAATATATTTTATGGCTGTTGAATGCATGAATGCACCTGGGTTTGTTGAAATATTACTTCATACTTCCACCTCGCATCACCATCCCCTGATACCCACTTCCTGTGTGAGCTTAGCATTATTTGGTTGAAAGACCCTAAATACCTAAAAAGATAGAAATGTCTCATAATCATATTTTCAAGCTTATTCAAATGATGTAGAAATATGTCCTATATTATCATTAAAAAAATTCAAGATAGCGGCGGCCCAGCTAAAAATTTTCTATGTCGAACTGTTTAACAGAGGTTGGTTTAATCTTCAACAAAAGCCCTGTATATATACAATATTTTTACATTTTTTTTAGATAAAAATTTATATGAAGTAAGTTAAGAAATAAGCGAAATTTAAAATGACATTTGTTAATGGCAAAATGTCATTAAAGCTTGGCTTATTTCTTAACAACTAGCGTTGCGAATGCATCTAAGCTGCAGATATTGAATGTTATCTAAGTGTTCAACCATTGTATAAAGAACTAGTAGTATAACCTTATCAAATATCAATATGGATACAGCTAATAGATGGCGACACTGTATTTGGATACCAGATCGAAAATAGCTTGTTTTAAACCAGATGACCTTGAGCTGCGAATGTGTTTATGTGCTATTTGATTTCATGGACCTTGCCTTATCAGATCCATTTTATTATTGTGGTTAGCAGAACGTATAGCTTGGATACTTTATCCGGAATTGCTGTGGCCTGTTTACAATTTTATGAGCTGTGAAATATGCTAGGAAGTTTAACAGAATTTTGGTAATAGGAAAAGATGTCGACCGGTACTTTTTTGAAATTAATAGGTGTAAAATTGGAACGAAAAGTCGAAAAGAGGCTTTTTCGCCTTGAAAAGTAACTGCAAACTGTCATAATTTGACATTATTGGCACTTTTAAGCGGAAAGTAACTTTGGCGCACGCCTAATTTTATTTATTGGTAAAATAGAGCTCGTAGTTACTTTAACACAGACTATAGCCTAAATAAATATTTTAATGGACTTCCTAATAAATTAAATCGTCCAACAGTATAACCCATTTCTAATAAAATAATATTATTTATTTTATTTTGGTGTAATCATAGAAAAAATCTTGTGTTTAATTCGAGCAGAAAGTTCTTTAGCAGTCTCGACAGATTGCTGCGCTCCGTTAACGCGTCACGCGGTAACTTTCTGTCTCAACTGCTCAAGTGCTACTTTCTGCTGTTACTACACAAATAGGTATTTAATGTCTCAACTACGAGTATTGATCATGCAGAAATTTTTTATTCAGTAGGTAGTTATTATATTCCAATTAGTCTATTTCACTCCGGGTTTTCGATAAAAAAATGTTAAAATAGTCGCCTTAATTTAGACAAAGAAAAAAAAAATTTTTAATGAAAATTTTCGATCCAAAAAAAATTGGAATGCGCTAGTTCGGTGTGATGTCATTTTGGTTCCAATGATATTTAATTCTAACCAAACTTTTAACAAAAACATCAATAAATTTGACATACGTTTTTACTGTTTTTAGTTTATTTCTAAATATAGTTTACAGGTCATAAAAAATAGTTTAAAGGTATGTAATTGGTAACTAAACGATTGTATATTTGATGCATGTTATCTACTTTAGGAATATATTTATAAAAATGAAAAAAAAAAAAAGATATAATTTAGGTAAACAAAACGCACTCAAAAAATCTGTCACTTTAATTGTCAGTGGAACCATAATTACATCATCACTGAACTAGCGTATTGCTATCAAAAAAATCCGATACTGTCAATGCATTTACACACCTCGCCCTGTATATCTAAATATGTCAAAAAGTACGGAATTTAAAAACAAATAATGTTTCCAAAAATCAAAATTTTCTCTATTTATTCCTTACACCCTTATTAGGGAGGTAGCGAGAAGGGTAAGGTATCTAAAAATGTTGATTACATATATTTTTTTAATGTTTTATTTGACCAAATTTTGGATTTGGAAGTAAATTGCGGCGGCTATTTTGGCATATTTTCTCTAAAACCAAAGATGAAAAAAATCTGCATGGGTAGAACTACTATATAAAAAATGCCCGCAAGGTTGAAAAAACATTTTGAGAGTAATTGAACCTCTTTTCGACTTTTGCTTGCGATTTTATAGCTATTTCAAAGAGCAGGCTAATTTTTCCTAGCTATATCTATATCTCGAATTTCGTTAAAAAAAGTAAATATCCGGTCACGTGGCCGTTATATCCCGAAAGTAGCAAAATCGGATGATAGAAAATGGCCTCGAAGGTTTTATTGTTATCGACATCTGGAAGCATATTTTCGTTTCCGACAAAAAAATCCATATATGAGCAGCTTTATTTTGAATTTCACAGGGGACATGACCGCTCTCATCGCCGGGGCAGAGTTCATGTTGTTCACTCCCCTCCTTGTACCCATCTACAAAGAGCTACTTTTTGCAGTCAGCTGAGGGAATATTAGAAGTTTATTAATTTTAATGATGTATATTCCATTTTCTGAAAATTTTCTTCAACAATGGTAACAAACAATTTTTTGTGTAACTGAATCACGATCTGTGTATCTATTCTTGAATCTCGAGTAGAAATTTTGAGTACAGAATGAGACAAATACAAATTTTGTATATTGCAGAAAAAGAGGCAAAACCGGTTTTCTATTCTCTCGATTTCAATAATAGCTACCCTGCTGAGAAAATATCAAAAGATCGCACCCAACTACAACCCAATTCCTTGGTTAAATTTACTTGTAGTAAATAAATATAGCTAAATCGAAATACTTGATAACATGACTTAACATATTAATATTATCCAAGTTTTGATGGCATAATATCTTTGTTAGCTAGGATGTTCGGACTTATGTTTATTAAACTTTATTTTATTGACTCATCTCTAAAAATTATGTCTGCAAGCCCTAAACATCCTGTATGTTAACTGTTTTTTTTTATCATTATAAAATTTTTATGTTCAAACAGGCAACATTATTATAAGCAGGTGTTTGTGACTAGTTTTGCCAGGTCACTCGCATCCAAATATCGAACATAGTGCTCAAAAGTATCGTACCCATTATAGTTCAATTTTTTTATTGTTAATATAATAAAAAACTATTCGAATTTAAAAATCAAAGACATTAATAAAATAACATATATTACATTTCTTATAAAATGATAAAACAATTAAGAAACTGTTTTAAACAATATCAAGAAATTAAAATCGTTTCTGAAAAGAGATATGTATGTCCTCTAATCGCTCCTCTTCCTATTCAATAATCAATGTCTAGATTGTCGGTATCAGCAATATTGGCATCAACACCACCAACGGATATTCTTTTTACTTGATAGATTGGTTAAGTAAAATAGTTTTTTTTTTTAAATAGTTGAAGGAATTAAATTATTGAAAGAACTTTTGAGGCATATGTGATATTGCTGTACATTTTGGTATTATACATTGTACAGAACATCAAAATTATGTTATAAATTATAATTATTGTACATCTGCAAGACTGTTCTTATTAGAAAATGCCAGTCCAAAATCTACTGTAGAGGTCGTAATTGACCAGCAAGTAAAATCGTTACTTGAAACATTGCATTACTGAATGTCAGTTGCGAATGCTTCCAGTAACTTTTACATTGCGATTATCCTACTATACTTCTTCACACAATGGTTCAAAGGTCATGCATCCAACAAGTATAAATCATAGTTGGCACTGATTAACTGCAGACATCGAAACGCCGAAGGAAAACTGATAGTTGTTTAATACTAAACTTAACACTTTTTTCGTTTATTTTCTATATCCTGTGGTTTATATTATTGACATCATTAGGAACAATTTTTTTAATCAAAATAATTGATTGTGAATTGACCCAAATTTAAATTGCTTAAAAACGACCCACTAGTAATTATCAACATACACTGTCGGCTATTGAACGCTTTGCTAATATCAAAGTAAAAAATACAGAGAATTAGCATGAGCAGGATAAATAATATAAATGTTGCCAGTTTAAACGGCCCGGTCGCATGGGGATATTTTTACGTTGTGTGCCGGGCCGTTTAAACTGGTTAAGTTGATACTATTCGCAATATTGCTAGTTTTCACTTTGACATTAGCGAAGCATATATCATCGTATAGTTTGAGTCAGATTTATGGAATTCTGTTTTTGGTAAGCTTCGAATAAAATGTCTATACTTGTGATGTAATGCCATATATTTTGTCATTAACTTAAATTTCTTGGTGTTCTTGAAATAATGTTGGTAGGTCTACTTATCTTTGTTATCGCTTGTTCTTGACTCATGGTATTATAATTAAAGCTAGTCATACGGTTCCTTTTATATTTTTGATTAACATGGGGTGTCTTTAAGTATAGTAGCATAAACAGGAAAATCGAAATTGCAATAGATTTACTGTTTTTTAAGGAATTTTCTAATTATGCTACTTATAGTGAGACACTCAACAGAACATGGTATCAAGTTAGACCTAACTTC